CTTGTAATATGTTTTTCTGTGAGGTATTTCATTCTATCTAGAACTGCAGAACAAATGATGCTGTTGAACGTGATTCATTATTTTCCTTAAAAAAATACTGAATGTCTGGCAGCAGTGAGTAAATACTGTTCAGTTTTCAGCTGGGTGGCCTTAGTCACTGCTCGGTCTAAAGCATGCCTGTAAGGTTACATTAGGATGGAGATTTCAGGCAGAAGGGAAGCTTTTTTTTTTAGCTTCTCAAATGTTCATTCTGCTGTGCTAGTGGTTTTGAGGGCTTGCCTCTCGTTTTGCAGATGAATGTGTGAGTGGGCAACTCTACTTTCCATGCACACAAATGCAGTTCTTCAATATAAGGAGCATTTTTAATCATTGCGCTAATCAAACTAATTATCAATTAAGTTATTCAGGAGCTGCAGTTCAATGCAGTTACCTAGAAAATCTAAAGATAGAATACCTCTACTTTGAACCCTAAATATTAGCATCAGCTGCTGTAAATGTTAGGGCTGTTTGTGTAAACATGTGATCATCTCAGTTTTGTAGTAAAATGTATGCAGACCAGATGGTTTGTTTTCCTACATAGTTATAGAGTAGGAATAAACAAACTAATGGTAATACAAATAACTTATTTATTAACAGGAACTGTAAAAGCCATTAGTTAGCGTACATCCGTTTCTGCTAATCTTTCAGTGTCTCCCACCCAGTAAGTCTTAAATTTTTGGAATACTTAATAAATGAGGTTTTGAAAACACTGACGTAATTTGGGTGGACCACACATGAATGTCAGTTACAGAGCACTTCCTACTTCATCTGGAAACGTGAAGTTAAGGTAAAGAGCCCTAAAGAAATTGCACAACCCATCTGCACTGGATGTGGAATTTATTCTTTTTCTGGAGCGTTTGTCTTGATAACAATGGCAGCCGTTACTGGATATAGACGCACGTTGCGGTTAGAGTTTGATAGAGAGGAACCAACTGTTCCTTCCTTCTACTCTTCCATGATTCCATTTACTGCTCTAAGCATCCTGCCTGCGAGAGGCTTGACGTCTAGACACTCATTTGGCTTGTTGGCATTCAGAGTGAACCCACTTCAGCTCCTCTGTTCCATACGAAAATAGAAAGCAATACACTTGAAGTCCCCGTGTCTGTAAACATACTTTTTTAACGTAGGAATTCGTAGTTGTTTTGTCTTTTTTCTGTTTATTGAAGCTAATGTCTGCTCTTATAAAACGTTCATACCTACCTTCTTCAGCTCAATAGCTCATTGAAAAAGCAAGGTGACTATCGCACAGTGTTAAAAAACAACTCGGTGTTTATTTGTCACAGGTACTGTGGCCCTCTTCACTGAAAAATATTTTTTGACATTTACCTTTAGCCTAGTTTGGGTTCTCAGAGATACCCTGCCTTGACGTATTTGGAAGGCATTTTTTAAATGCAACTGGCTGTGTCCAGAGTTCAGTGTTCCTAAAACAAACAGAAACTGAGGTGGCATGATTTAGCGGAGCCAAACGTTATACTGAAATAAATAGACAGTGTGCATGCCACATAAAGTTGTTGCCTGTAGAATTATCACCTTGTAACTTGAACAGTGTTATTCATTGATTAATTAATAGTCTGAAAGGTCAGACATCTATAGAGTTGTAGATGTAAATATTGGCTATGCATCTAAAAAACATTGTTTACTTACTAGTACTCATTAATTAGCACTTAAATGTGAATACATGAGCACTCAGTAACATTTGGAAATATCAGTGAAAAATAAGCTTATTTTGAGAAATACATTACACTTAGTGAATACGCATGCCTAAATCTCCATCAATATATGTGTATTTATAGATACATTAGATTAATGTTGCAATAGTTATGGGAAATATTTACATTGATACACAACTGATATATTTCATTGTAGCCCTATATAATTGGAATCCTGACACAATATATTACATACAGTATATACAGTATACTTATTCTGCTGCTGTCACCCGCTGAATCTGAATTTCCTAGAATACAGCTCAACAGGTGTTTTGGTGTTTTGCGTGTCATATAACACAAACTATAAATATATCATGATCAACAAGGCTCAAATTCAAATCAGTACTCCGCTGCTGGAACATCTGTGCTGCTACATAAATTCATGACTGATTTCAAGCATGCTTAGACAATCATCTAATATTTCCAAGTTGTGAAAATATTAGCTTTTACAGATCTTGTTATGCTTTTGTATGGACCAGTTTACTGTTCCTTTTTTTATTGTCATGTGCATATCATTGCATACACATATTGTATACAGTATGTCAATGATATTTACATATATAAACACTTTGCAGTGGTGCTGCTGCTACATGACCCAAATTTTGTTAAAAATGTATTTTTATGGTATTAGCACTCAGTAACATGCTACATGATTAAAACAGTTGATCGATTTGATGTTTGAACATGACTCAATCTATTCAATTAACCAGTGTACTGTTAATACAGTAGTATTGTAGTGGTCAGTCTGCAATATTTGAAATAGTACTATCAGAAATCCATTATGGGGTATTTCTATTTTCAAAAGGGTTTTTTGATGAAGATCATCCAAAAGGTTTAATTCTCAAACTGGAGGCACCAGGCAAACAGGGAAACAAGTGTGTGGATTAACAACTGGTAAACAGAAAACAGGAAAAGGAATAGTTAAATTGGGGTGTTGCAATGTAATTAGTGTCGTACCAATGGGATTTATACAGTGGACTAGTAACTTGTGCGCTCTTAATTTACATGGGCTGTTGAAAATAAAAAAATAATGAAAATTTCATCAAGCATGCCTACAAAAGCTAGTTAGCCTATTCAATCATCCTATTTGCTTCTATTTATTTTTCTTTAATTTGATTTCTTGTTTTTATACTTTTATACTCATTGCATATCTTGAATTACTGTAATCTAGGTTCTAGTATCATTAATAAAGTAGTGAAAGTTGCAGATTATGCCAAATTAGGAGAATAAGTAAAATCCTCCGTAGAATTTTCAGATGACATTGATAACATCTCAGACTGGGCGAACACCAGGCGGATGAGGTTTCATGTAGACAAGTGCAGGAGTTTGCATGCAAGTAGGAAAACAAAGTCTAAATATAAAATAGGAAACACAAAGCTAGAAGTCGTCTTATGAAAAACACAAAAGGTGTTTGTTGGCATATCATTTACATCGAGCGATGTTTTATTAAAATTGAATAATGGGCTAGAAAGGCTTCATTTACAATATTGTGTACAATTGTGGTCATCATGTTATAGAAACATATTTCTGATCTGGAATCTGTCCAGCAAAGATCTACAGTATGAGACACATCTTGCGTCTTAAAAGAATATCCTACACTGACTGGTTGAAGGAAAGGTAGCCTTTTTAGTGTTGGACAGAGATGATTAGGAGGAGAATTGAGAATGGATACAAGTATTTAAAGTCCTCAATGGCTCTGACAGTCAACTCAGTGGATTTCTACACAAAGAATTCTGGGAGTCTGGAACAAGCTACTCTGCCATGTTTTTGAAGCCGGTACCTTAGTTTCGTTCCTGGGGCAGGATGACATCTTTATAAGCTGAGTATATTATAAATAGAATCTAAAGAAAATAAGTTCAAGTTATCTGGTCCTGACACATGAGCCTTGGATTCTATTATAGTTTAAGCAAACATTTTCATTTAAATTACTATCAAATATTCCACATCATAAACTATTGCTACAACAGAAAATTGCAGAATTAGGCAACAGCATTCACTAGTATATATGAATATACACACAGACATACACACATATTCTCAGTAGGCACATTCCCAGTTCTTGTTATTGCTGTTGTGTTTTGAAATCAGGTGTAGTGGTGGTGTTTTGCTTTTCACATTACTTAATTCACAGAAATAGGTATTCAAGCTGGTGTGGTTCAGTGTGTGTTGTTGTTGTTGTTTAAAATTCTGATTGTTTTTAATCAGAATCTCTGGTTGAATGGTGATCATGATACACAGCAGATCTGCACACATTTAATAAGCCAATTAGTCAGTGAAATGGCACATGCTTTATTCTCTTGTGGCTGTCAGCAGATGCTATGCTTTATAAACACTGCTCATTAATTCACTGACATTGCCTTCACACATTTATAATGAGCTGAAATATACAGTATAGTGATGACAAAACCTTGCTTTTAAATCAGCTAGAAACCTATATTAACCATAGTACTAAATATGCACAGCTAAACAGAATACCTTTTACTTGTTTATTAATTGTATTATTTAGGACTTTCCTACCGAGTGAAATTTATGAAGAGCTAGACTAAAGTCCCTCTGATTTACACTTTTAGATTTAACCTTGTAATGCAGAGCTGTAAACAACATTCTCCCAAACTGTGTTGCAAACAAAATTGCTGATTCTTTTATTGATGTATAAAACACTAGTATTATTTATACTTTTTTTTGACAATTTGTAAAATATTACCAGTTTCCCTACAGGGGGAGACATGTTTTAACTGCTATTGGCTATAAATATTCCTTTCCGGTTTGATAAAAAAATGTAGGATATATTTAACTTGTAATGTTGCACAGTCATTTGTAGTCATCATACCCCTCATGTTGTCCCAAGGTGACACAGTCTTCATGAACAGTGGGGCAGATGTCACCCCACTGCATTTCAGACGCAATTCAGGAGCCCTCTGCCCTTTACAGTCCAGACTGTTAGTGTCCACTCCCCCCGTCTGACCATCCCCCAATCAGGGAGTGAAGCACAGGAAATGTAACTCTACACCACAGCTGGATACTTTAAACCTTCTGCATGGCAGAAATGGGAAGATACCCGTCCTGGGCAGACTGTGTAACAAGTCTTGACAGTCAAGCCTGAGGGAACTCCGTCTGCTGTTTCTGGGATTTAAGGAAATCAATCAATCCACTCTAGATTGCATTCCGGTCTAGCGTAGCTTGTCTGACTGCTGATCTCCCAGAGTCCCGGATTGTATGATGCACACTGTGCTCTTGCTGTTTTCTTCTCAGCTCAGTGGCGGATCTGAATGCAGTTGTGAAGTCAGCCCAGACGACTCCAAGAAGAAGAAGTCCAAGAACCTGTAAGTTGCTCTCTGTGGATCGTTCTCTCTAATCAAGTATCATCCTGCGGTGGACCATTTAATTTACTTTGTTCAACTTGTGTGATGTGTGCTATCAATGCTTGGACCAGTAACGTTACAGACCAGGCTTAGAAGAAGTATGCAGTAGAAAATGCTTTGGCAAAACATTATTGAAAACATTATCAGATCATTAGAGTCATATCCTTGCTATAATAATCACTGTTGTTACTATTCAAGTGGTGGCGATTGAAAAAGTACCCGAAATTAGTCAGGAAACTTCTTCCCTAGCTGTACAGCTTCCATAGAAAATAAGGATTTTTGATGGTATAAGTCAGTCCAGGAATAACAAAACAAATGCAGGAGTCACAGTTTGGAAATGTTATTCTAATCCCCAGTCTTTCCTTCCTACATTCTGACCTGTATCACAGTGCAAAGAATTTATACAGATTAGGAAAATGAATTCTCCCAATTACTAGCCAAAATTACCATGCAAAAAGGGTCAAATGGGTAATTGCTCTTTTAAGAACCAATCCAAAACGTGTGCCATCACTTTTGCATTGTAAGGAGCTGTTTGATGGGCAAATAAGCTTCTTTATCTTCATGTTGGAGGCAGTAAATAAGGTTGATTGTGACTTGTGAGGTCCCTAGCCAGCTGTTCTGGACTCCTGAGTGGCTCAAATGAGAAGGGTGCTTGCCTGAGCACCCGTGTTCGAGACTGAGTCATGTCTCTATGATTGTGACCAAGATTTTACAAACAGTGGTGCACAATTACTGTAGCCAAGTGCTCTTAGGAGTGGGGTGAGATTGCTTAACTGGGGCTCACTTGACTCTTGGCGACAATTCAACCCCCGATGTCTCCTGGGACCCTTTTCTCTCTTCTGTAGTCAGTGCTGGAACTCTGGTGTGAGGTCGTGGTGCCTGTGACATATTAAAAGGCAAGTGGCTCGAAGGCGGACTACTTTGGAGGAAAGGAGAAGTTCCTCTTCTCCCCTGCACGCTGCCACAGGGGTTCGTAGCTACTGTATGAGCCAAGACACATCTGAAAGTTGCAGTTCCAGATTGCACCCAATTCCAAATTGGGTGGGTATAAAAAAAAGTCAGGGACTTTTAAATTTAAATATTCCTCAAACTGCGTATGTACACAAATGGCTGCATTTTTGCACAACTGTCATGAAAGCTCTCAGGTCCCCTCTGAACACATTCTGCAGTCACCTGTCCTGCAAGTGAGAATACTTCTAGCTGTTACAGCTTGTAATGTGCACAACATCCGGATATATAATCCACTGGAATGTAACACCTGACCAGCAGGACTCATTATTCCTGACACAGGGAACCAACGTAAGGACAAACTGGAATGGGAAAACCACATTTTTACCTTTATAGCAAAGGCCAAGTGCCGGAACTGAACCCAGGCTCTTCCAACCTAAAAGAGATGTGCCGAGTGTGGAGCAAAACTAAACTGCGCTATGCCAAGCACTCTGATATCATTAATTATTAATATTGGCAAGGAGTTTACCACAAGCTCCTTGTCAGATTTTGCTGTCATGAGACATCTTAAAAGGCTTATTATTCCTCAGCACATTAGACAATCCAGTGAATAATGGGCACAGTAGGGAAGGTTTTGCTGAAAGTCTTGCCTCTTCATCTTTTGTGGCTTCCATTTACATACTGTATCTTTTCCATCATCGGCTTTGTCTAGTACTCACACAGGATGCCTTTCCAACTGGAGGCTCTGCGAGAGCAGAGGATTAATTAGGAACTTCCATTACGGCCACTGCTGTTAGGCTTTCATTTGTGTAGAGCGCAATGATGATTGACCCAACATCCCACTGTGAGCAAAGCAGCTCAGGTTTTTATTATCCCAGCAGCAACAGGGTGTACCTCCAGCTCATTATAGCTGTCCCACAAAGAGGTGCAAGTTTTCCTGCTGCTATTAATTCCTCTGAATGAAAACCAGTTGCGGATTATTCCCCAGAGGCACGTTGCTTAAATAGCCCTCTGAAAACAAACTAACATGCACACACACACACTAAAGCATTTCTGTTGTATTTACATTGACAGGAAGCTGTGTCATTGTTACAGTATGTGAATGTATGCTAGTTCTTAAAGAGTTCTAATCTAGGCTCAGAATTATTCACTTTGGCCAGCTTTTACTTGAAAAATGAAAGAAATGTGATAGGACAGGGATCTCTGAGCAATGCAGGATATATAACTGCTAAGTTGGAATAGGGTGTTTTACAGCTAAGAAGTGTGTACAGTTTTGTAACGGGGCTTGGGAGGTTGCGAGTTTTTTTGTTCATTTTCTGACAAAAGTCCCAGAGTTGGTTAGCCATGATTCTTTAACCATAGAGAGCACAGAAAGACTATAAGACAGATATGAACTTTTGTAGGCCAGTTGTAAAGCAAATGCTAAACAGAACATTAGCATTGCTGCCCCAGAGGCACCTCTGTAAACGTGTCTTTTTTACTTCTCAACTTTGTTGTTTACAAACTAGGTTTCTCATGCTTTTTTCCTTATAACTGTTCGTTACATTTTAAACTGAGCTCTCTTTGATTCTTATTTCCTTCCATGCATCACTGAAATGTACACCGATGCGGCAGCTGTCCTTGATTTCGCCCGGCTAGTTTGAATAGTATACAATGAGCTTTGAAACTTTGTGCCTTTCTATACCACAAGCCCGCCCTGGAATTGAAGGAGAAAAGGAGCATGACTGTTAATGCTTATTTTGTTCTTTTCACCCATTTTCTTCAAAACCCAATTCCTGAGAGTTTCGCAGTGTATTGTAAGTACAGTTCTGGGAACAAGACAAGGAAAAAAAAAATGTGGCTGTAATTCAATTCCCCCAGTGGGCTTTCTGCTCTGTGCTGGTGGTGTGCCATTTGGCAGGGCAACAGGAGAAGGGCAAGCTCGAGGCCTGTTGGGGAGCGTGTTTGGGTGCTTTGGAAAGGAAGGGTCAGGGAGGGGTCGCGGAGCAGAGACAGGTGGGGGAGGGGGAGGGAGGGAGCAGGTACGGTGGAGGCATAGCGCTGGGGGGAGCCCAGCTAACTGCAGCCCCTGCAAGCTCTGTTCTTTTTTATCCAAGAAGAGAGGCACGGTCAAAGAAGACAGGCCACTTCTGAGGAAAACGGCAACAGAGAGAGGTAGACATTCTGAGGTGAAGCCTAGGTAGCTACCAGAGAGGTTAAAAGAAAGCCTCTAAATGTGGATTTAGTGGCTAGGAATTACCAGCAAACAGATCACATGCTTTTCTAACCTTATAATAAGTCACAAGACCAGGCTTGCACAAGCTGGGCCTTCTCTTGCTGTAAGTTACTCGGGTTAGGTGACATCCGAGGTAGTGGCGGGGAGGAGGGAAGGGAATATTCTCAAAGGCATTGGCAGTGAAATAGTGCTCATGGCCTCGACTGACTGCAAAAATAAAGTTTTCACTTCAGCTCACGTGAATGAAAACTGACTCATGTAAGTAGGGAAGTTGTGTAATTACATTTAAAGAACACACAAATGTAAAGCATTCAGCTTATACAGTGTCTGAAGGCACCTGATTATTAAAGAATCCAAGTTGATTGGCATTTCGATTATGTGAAAGAAGAGGTATTAGAAAGCATTCCTGGTCTTAATATCTTGTGCAATGAATGTAACAGCACTGGTTTTATTTTAGAATGTTTATTTTCAGTTCCTTTTTAGTCATGAACTGAACCTGATCTGCTTGATATTATGTTACTGTTCCTGTTTACTGTACTCAGGTCTGTCAGCTGCCTTCATGCTAGGAAAGGTACAATACATTGAAAGTTCAGCCTCCACAAGTCACTGGGGTTTGCACAAAGAAGGCCATGCTGTCTACTGAACTGATAAATAAAACTTCATGAAGTAATAGCCAAAGCAGAAAATTGAGGCATGCAATAAAACTAGAATAATGCCAGAGCAGATACACATTTAAAGAAGCAGCTCTTCGAAATCTATGTAAGTGGTCATTAGTCACTGAAAGTCACTGAAAGTATTCTGTGTGTAAAGAGAACTTACACACTGTTCAGCAAGTCATTGGGTTAGTGAGGCAATAAAGAAGGACCCTAATAAAACTACACAACATTCCATGGCAAACTGTAAGATTTTATTTGACAACTTCCTACAAATGGGGAAATGACAGGAGGTAGTCTTGGGCCTTGCCACTAGATGTCAGATGGGATCTTCCTATGAAAATTCTCAGAGCTACAATGGTGAATGCAGTTCAGTGTATTGAGGCCTAAACATACTGTATCATAACAATCACTAAAAAGAGCCAATGCAATACTGGAAACCAAAGAAACTTGAAAACTTTTTAAAACTTTCATCCTCACCTTTTCTCCTTGTGGAAAACTTTTCTTAACATTAAATAAATTAGAAATGGATTATTTACACCGGGTGGACCTAATGTAGTAGGAGATTTTCTATTTAATTATTCTACTAATATTTTTCTAATGTACTAATGTATTGTACAGTTTACTTTTTTTTTTGTAAAGAACTGCTACTACACCATTTTATGGTCTCAGTTCCATCATGGCTAACATTTCCATTCAGTAATATGACTTTATGTGCTGAAGGAACATGTCGAAAGGCACACCAGTCATGTCCGACATGACTTTAGCTTGGCTGATCTGTACTGGGCTGACAAGCCTGGGGAATATAACTATATACAGAGAGCTGCCCGCGGTGAGCTCTGATTGGCCCCTCCCCGGGCCTCCCTCCAATCCCCTGGCCTATTTAACATGTGTGCAGCGCGGAGGGAGGCAGAGGAATGTCAGAGCCCAGTACAGAGCCTAGCGTTCACATGCTCACTGCCACAAATGTACCACACAATGGTTGACTTTTCAGAAAAATACCTGGAAAGGTAGGAGTCCTGGCTTTTGTTTTTCTTTCCGTTTTCCGACTTGCTAGTGGTAAAGGAGTGGGGAAAAAAAGGGGGGGACACCGCTCCCCGCTGCAGTAACAGTTTATTTTTAGCTGAATGTAGGAGATGTCTTAACCATGTGGAGATTTTATTGTTGTTGCAGCGATAGGTCTGTGGCTGAGCTGATACCCTTCGTTTTATTTTTGTGTTTGTTATGGTTTCTGGAAAAGCTTCTCATATGGGGCCTCTGTGCAGTAAAAGGGTTTAAAGCAGGGATTGCATGTTAATTCGTTTTTTGGTACACAGGTTGTATTGGTAATACCGATGTATTTATTTGCAGCACACGTTGCAAGTGACTGTTGAAAGTTTGCATTGCCTCTGAGTAATGGGAGCAGTTTGGTTTGGAAATCGCCGGTATAATCTGGCATGCATTTTCTTCTACAATGCCTGTGGCTTCACATCAGCATGATTTGGATTACAGTGCTCGAACGTGAAGATGGAGCACTGACAGCATCAGCCATCCTCATTTATCACTGGGAACGTTTCTGCAAACAAGTGAAAATCGCGAGTTTAGTTGCATCCGATTGAGAAAGATCTTGCCAGATAGGAGGGAACATGCAGCTGGAGTCTAACACACTCGTATGCCGAGGGTTTATTGTAGGGGTATACATTTCTTGAGTCACAACCTAAAAACACACTGCAAGACACAAGTGGTTTTCATTTCTGTCCTCAGCACTGGGCTGGGATGTGCTTCTGAATGTGTGGCTGTGGCAGAGGAGCAATCAGGCTGTTCAAACTATAAATGAGAACCATGCTGGCAAACGTTCATTGATTATCTTGGTAACATCAGTCAGTTTCCCAATATCGTTTTTTTTTCTATACAGTACTTGCTTCTAGGTAGACCGTTCCAGGCAGCTGTCCCAGTATTATACTCTGTGCTTTCTTTTACTCAGTCTCCATTCTCCACACTGCAACCTTTCTCCCACTGAAACCATTCTAATTTTAAAGACTTCAGGCACAGAGATACAATTACAGACTCGGCCGTAATAAGAGACAGATGATTGAAGGTTTGGGACCTCTGGAGCTCGGAGATAATTAGGGCCAGTAAGATCTCTTTTCCAGCGTTGCATATAGGCTGATCTGAGGAAACTGGTACAGTAGTTGGTTTCAAATTGCATGTTTAGAGCAAAACTATGAGCATGTGCCCAGGTTAATTTGATAATGCAGAGGGGTTTGGCGGAGTTCAAATGAGACACACAAAAAAGGTTTTCCCAACATTAGAAAACCTTCAATTGATTGTAGAAAGCTGAAATGAGCTTTTTGTAGGCTAAACCTATTTACCCAATAGCAACTATAAAAATACACAGAGTGGCAGTCGGTGACAATTCTTTTTCCCTCCTTATCCTGTTGTTTTAATGAGAGTAGAGTTTCTATGTTGCTTTCATTAACAAAGACATTGTTGACAAGTAGATTTTGGCAATGATATAATCCACACAGACTGCTGTGACAATGGCAGACCAGCAGTGGTGTATTATACCTCACAGCTGCTTGAGACCTGCTGAAGCAATGTGTTAAAACTCTTTAGCTCTGAATGTTATTACTGCCTGTAGAATCCTCACCGAGAGGCCCAGAAGGGCCTCTACACTGCCCCCCTGTGGCTGTTTCCAAGTTCATGGCTAATCTTTTTCCCATTTTACGGAACATACTGTAGGTTCTGCAGTTTTCTGTGCCATTAACAAACACAGAACATGGCCAGGCAGCTTTTTGTCTATCCCACTTGTAATTTCTGGAGAAAAGGTTGTAAACATTACTTTCTACAGTTGAATGAGTCTTTTTTTAATACATTGCTCATTTGTTTTAAAAGTCATTGGCCTATGTTGTTGGGCACAGATAATCCTAAAAGGGTTTTAGTATTTTTGTAGAACAAGGACGTTGCCCTTGTAGTTTATGAAGGACTTCAAATCCAGAGGAGTCCGGACATTGTGAAGCCGATCTGCTTATCTGTTAGCTTGCAGCTGGCTTTTCTGCAAGACACTCCTCCTGAATTCCAGCATGACTTCATGAAAAAAAAAGTAAGCTATTTAATAGCTCTTTGGAAAGACCTGTTGCTAGCCACAGGAAAATGTCAGACCCTTCTCCCTCCCACAAGTCCATTACGCTCACTGTATCACCGAGTGTCAATGTGGAGCGTTGATCCGGTGAGCCTACCTTCTCTCACACTCACCGGCCCCAGGGAGAAAAAGTCATAGCTTTCTACTGAGCAGAATGCGTTGCACCATTGAATCCAGACCTACATCATAAATTGTGTCATTAAGCTCACAAATATTTTCCAGGACCATAAAAAAAGGTGACGTTGCTCTGAACAGCGCCATGCAGAGGCTGGCTAGAGCTCCCTTCGTTACAAAATAAACCAAATAAGCCAACAAAATTCATGCTATTTTTAGTGGTCTTTATCCGCCCTGAAACAATGTTTTTAAAAGCAAATATATTTCTACTACAAGAACAGTGTAATTCAATTGTAAATTCAAAAATTAATAAGAACAGCGTTTCGCCTTAAATAGAATCCTCCTCCCTCCACACACAATCGGCATTTATTCATCTGGTTAAAGTAGATTTTAAACTGCTTACTCTAAAATATTAAAAGCATTGTCTGTCGTCATGCAGCAGGATATTTCCTCTATTAGATTTCTTTTCTAGATAAATCTTTCTCACCATAATCCTGCGATTTGTAATTTCCCCAGACACAATAAATATACAAATGTGCCATGCTCAGATCCTTTTTTGGAGGGGGATGCACAAAATCAAATTTAAGGATTCATCAGAAACATGACATAACCCCTAACATTGCTGACAGTGGCCTTTGTATTCAGATACAGGATATATTGTAACAGATTCAAAGCCGAGATCCTGTAAAAACTTGGAAAAGATCTGGCTCTTCTTCAGATCCAATGATCCAGGGGTTTACCCAGAACGCATTTTTGCCATGAGGCAAGATTTTGGGAGTGTGACAGAGTCTAAGAATAACCCATATAGTAATACTCTGGCAATTTTTTTTTTTTTTGAAAGGCTCCACTATTCTTTCTGTTTGCTCATTTTCACCCCCACTGCCCAGTACGGTTGCCTAGGCAACCAGCGGTGGAGTTGGTCATAAATAGCCCCAGCCCGCCTGCATCCTGTTTCCTGCCTCAGCCTGTCCGCATTTTACCTAATTTTTTCGAAGCGTGGAAAACAGTCCACCAGCCTCCGGTGAAAGCTGACACATCTCTCCCATAGTCGAAACACATGGCCCTTTCAGCGGTCCTGCTGCAGGCCCTCCTACATCCGGAGAGCCTTTGGTAGATGAATACCGCGGTCCAGATTTTTACGGAGGGTTAGTGAGGGGGTAGGAGATCTCAACTCCAGCTTCTTCGTATCCTTCGTCAGGCAGTCCTTTTTTTCCTTTCTTCCTCACCGGGATGGCTAAAGCCGCCTCAGCTTTCCCGTAATACGGACTCGTAAAAACACGACGCCGGATTAAAAGAAGTACCAGAAGTTGTGGGTGGGGCGGGGAGGCACCCCAAAAAAAAAAAAACAGAATTAAAAAACCAGAACTTGATGGTGGAGGCGAAGTCACGGAGCGCTGCGTGCATCGGGAGACGCAGGGTTGGGGAGATGCCGTTTTTTCGAGCAGCTGCGCCCCAAACGCAGTCCCAGGAGTTTCACTCTGAAGTGCTGCTCGGCGTGCTGCAGGGCACCTGGCGAGCGGGGGGTTTACACAGGAGACACACCATGAAGGAGTAAGTCGAGGCGCGCTCGGAAGCTGGGGCAGAGCTGCTACTGCCACAGACGAGCCGGGGAACTGCCTTTTTGGAAAAGGAGCACCGGATGCAAAATGTATAACAAGAGGGCCCTTTCCTTTCCTCTCGGCTGTTTCAGTAATTCGGTACTTCTTACCTTACACTGTGGAGCTTTTTTTTTTTTCTGCCCTGAGACTCAACACTTCTCTCCCTTTCGTTTTGTGTTCTTCAGGGCCAAAGACATGAAGAATCGTTTGGCTTTCTTAAGGAGGAGGAATGAATCTCCTGGAAGCAACCCGGCTAGCAAGCTGGACAAAGCTATGAAGTCTGTGAAGTAAGTGACCTCAAACACTGGCTTCTTCTGTGCTCAGGCGGAGCTCTGTTGATTTTGGAGGATAGAGAGCGAAGGTGAGACTGGGTGCAGAGCAGAGGAGCAAGTTAGCAGGGTATGCATGAGGATTTAGATTAATTTTGTTCTCATTACATCTGAAGTACTGTATGAGGAACAGGTATGAAGTTCTAGGATTTGTAAGAGAACTCATACAGCACATATCCTGTACTTACAGTGACAAGTATTCCTTGACTGAGTTGGTACAATGTGGAGTATAAGGAAATAAACAGAAAAATCAGGATAGTTCACTAAGGCTGGGATGTAGAAGTGGTGATAGCAAGAGGAGCATTAAAAAAAATAATTAGCAGGAGAAGATGCTTGAAGTTACAGTACTTGATGTTGTGCAAGTACTGTCTTCCAATGTTCGGTTCAGTGACTGTCGCTTTGGCAGACCAGTACAAGGTTTGCTTCCTCTGTTTATCAGACGTGGTTTTAAGAAAGTCAAAACAAGTGGATGTTTCCTAAACACCCAGGGCCTCTCACAGCCAAGCAGAGGAAGCCGGGGTCAGAATGTGACGGCATCTAATTCTTCAATTTGGAGAGCAGCCTAGGAAAATCGGCACACAACTGCAAGCCCCCATGGCTTTATTTTTCTGCTAGGTCTGTGTCAACAAGTCAAGAGACAGTGTTTAGTGTTGCTTAGACAGAATACTACAATATCTAAACAGTGAAAAAAATGTGCAGAAAGACCGTTTTGTTTTTGCCAGTGAGTAGACAAGCTGTCCTTTTATCACAACTGATATTATGAAACTTTTACTTTCGAATATGAAATGCACTGGGTTATATTTAGTTCGAGTTTTGTGCTTGTTCACTGCTGTTTATTTAAAAAATGATAGCCGCGGTTAGCCGGTCAGTTACACTGATTGGAAAAACGGTGCAGATTTTATTTCTGAAGCTGGATTTTCCTTTTTTTTCTTTATGTGCAGTCCAAATTCTGACTTGCTTTAGTGCAAAGATGCCGATGCATTCGGACCAGTCTGTCTCCATTATAATCTGATAATACAGCTCAGCGTGAATACTGATCTTTAAAAGGTTCATAAAATGCGAGAAGAGGGCAAGGAAAAGGAAAATTACAAACGCAGAGTAGTCTAGAGTCCTCACGCTGTCCATATTAACAATGCTTAATGCTGTCGTTAGCTATTCATGTCTGAATGTAATACAAGTCATTCTGTATTGGCATAAATTTAATAAGCTTAAAACCCCCAGCTTTAGTCACATAACCATCAAGATTATGGTGTTTTTAATTTTGTAGCGATCAAATGTCACAGCCTAACGGAGATTCGTGCTGGTCTCATAAAGTACATGTGGTAGAAACTGAAATTCACGTATCTAGTTCAGAGAAGAAAACAAGAGCTGTGCTTGTTTGTTCGCTGTATCGTCAGACAAGATTTTGGGGGTTTAGAAATGAGCCGCACGGGTGCTTTCATTCCCCATATGTTCTTCACGGAAGAGGCGGCATGGTCGCAGATCTACAGGAGCGATTTGAAAGAAGGAGCTTCGGGAGGGGGGCGGGTTTGAGATGTAGGCACTCCCCATTCAAGGCAGCGACACCCGTCAGGGCTCCGAGCCAGTCAGAGAGCTTATAAGAGCTGTTGTGCAGCCGGACACCAGAGAGAGAGAGACCGAGCTGCAGAGTAGTGTATCTAGGGCACCGCTGAACCGGTTCCAAACCAAAGAGTCGAGCACGGCACCGCGAATGGGTCACACAATGAGAAACCTTGCAGAGATGGGCTTGCTAAAGAATCGATCTGCTTTTATTTGCAGGCCTACTCCCGAAGAAGCGCTCAAATGGGGAGAATCCTTAGATAAACTACTGGTTCATAAATGTAAGTGTGATTTTGGTCTTTTTAAAAAAAAAAATAAGATGCCTTACATTAACGATTTCTTTTGGAGTGCAGGCAGTTCCTTTATTTGTTTAGAGTAAGCGCTGAAGTCTGCTGTTATTTCATTTGCAGTCGTTTCTATACATTTACAATTGGGATTGTGTGTGTAAGTACAGTGGCTGAACTTCATTTCTTTAGGAACTAATGCATTATACGATGCAATTTTGTTCTCGAAATTTGGCTCTTGGATAATTGCAGTTTGTTCCCTTGGCATGCAGCTCGTGGTTGTGCATAGGAACTGAATGTATTTCAGTAACTATGTATCCGGCTGGGCTAGTGAATAGGGCGCCTGTTCGTCCTACCCATTTCTCACATGAATAGAGCCATGCAACAGCATGGGTGGGTTGGCAATAGAGAGTTTTACTGTCTGCTGCAAAACACGGTCGCTTCTATATTTATATTGTTGCAGAAATCATGACCTTGAGCTGCTTGGTGGAAACGCAAAATCAATAGATTAGCAATGATGACGTCCGTCATACACGTTTTCTGAGCGCTAATGCATATAGCGACGATTTAAAATAGTGAGATTTCAAACTATGCCCAGGTCAACCCTCCTATTATTCTTTTGGTCTGAAGCATCCTCACACTCTAAATAACGTGGCCCGACCAGGGGTCTCACGGTGATAAAAACATGCCCTTTGCAAAAAGCTCTTTATACAGAGCGCCAACGAACGAGAACGGAAGTTGACTGCCTTCTCTCTTGTCGTCTTTAAGTAACTGTAAAAGCACACAACAGCTTCGCAGTTATTGCAATGCCCATGGCTTTGCTCTGCTCACTGGTTACGCACCTTCCCGTTTTGAAACTTCACGGTTTAAAAAAAAGCAATTTTGCCAAAGCAAATGTGTCAGAGGCTCAGAATTGCCGGCACGTTTTTTTTTGCTAATTCCGTCAGCTAATCTTTCTGTTTCCTAAGAAACATTCTAAAGTCCATTCACTAACGCTATACTTTTGCATATAAGATTCAATATTATTCAGCAACTAAATACTAAAAAAAAAATTACTCAAGTTCTTCAGATCGATCTGCAGTGGGTTGCCGTGAGCATCCGAATGGTTGTTCTTTGTATGCATCACTAAACATCTTTGTTTAGTGCTTTAGTGCTTGTTTGTGCTTACCTTCCTTTTTTTTTCTTCTTCTTCTGGCAGATGGTCTGGCTGCTTTCAGAGCTTTCCTACGCACAGAGTTCAGCGAGGAAAATCTGGAATTCTGGTTGGCGTGCGAAGATTACAAGAAGATTAAGTCACAATCTAAAATGGCATCAAAGGCCAAGAAAATCTTCGCAGAATACATTGCCATCCAGTCCTGCAAAGAGGTAAAGAGGAGATTGGTGTGCGTGCAAGATCAATTCTTATCGATAAACGATGCAAGTGGTTTTCAATACTGTACACACTTTCAATACATTATCTACAAGATGTTAAATATACCAGCCGTCAGTAATGAAGAAATAGATGTTCTGAGGGGTCTGTTTTTGGTGGGGGTCAATTTAAATTGTCAGATACAAAAAGGAAACATCCTTTCGCTGTTAACTATTGCATTATATGGTTTGGATTATGGAGGGTCTGATCTTGTGTAAAACAAGCAGAAACGTGCCTAGCTGAATTCCTCTGCAGAATGATTAGGTGCACTAGGAAATCTGTGATTAATCACATCCAAACCTTCAGCCCACCAAATCGTTTCACTGTGGAAGCTCCTTGCCCCCTCAGGAATTTGTTCTTTATTTAAAAGATGGAGCTGGAAAGTCCGATGGAAAATGAAGATAAACCTGATCCACATTTTACAGCCTCATAAAACTTCTCTCTCTCTCTCTCTGCAGGTCAACCTCGACTCCTATACTAGAGAACACACGAAAGAAAACCTGCAAAACATCAACCGGTCCTGTTTCGACCTGGCTCAGAAGAGGATATATGGATTAATGGAGAAGGACTCCTACCCCAGATTTCTCCGCTCAGAACTGTACTTGGACTTAGTGAACCAGAAGAAGCCCAATTCGACATCGCCCTCGTAGGCGACTCGCAACAGCTTGTTGGGTTGATTTAGGTCATTTGCGTTTCCATTTTTTATTTGCGATGGGTGGTTGAGAGACTTGAAACAGACTGGAACCTGTATGTTTACATGGAGGAGAGAATCTCCCCCCCTGGTATGTCTCCCGGGAGGGGGCACGAGCCGTACATCGGTTTTCGTCCAGTGTTACGAATATCAACGACGGAAGCCATATCTCCCTGTCGCGCAGCCCCCAGTTGGTGCAAGTGCCAGGTGGAATTTTTTCCGAATTTGTTGTTCCGAACATGCTGGAGAGAGGTTGAATCTGGAGATCCGAAACAGTCCGGTACTGTTTGTCACACTCTGCATCTTTCGCCCAAGTAGTCTCTCCAGTTTCCCCCCAACCCCACCCCCTTCATACGCTGTTGGTACGACATCTGCAAAACTTACTTTTTTTTTTGGTTTCCATTTCTGTACATGGCCGTGATGGTCGCTCAGGGGAAGCACTGGTTTTCTTCTGCGCTAGCCTGCTGTTCAGTCAGTCTTTCCTGGCACGACATCCCTTTGGCTCCTGAACTTTGGCTCCGTTCTGTGGGGAAACGTCCTGTTGCATTCTCCAGAGGACTACAAGAGGGACAAAAACCAACAAATTATGAACTAAAGGACCAAGCTGTGGACATAATGCTGTCCTTAAGTTGAAAGAACTTACTACCCACTCTCCAAAGACTGTAGACGCTTCAGACATATCTTAAGCAAGCGATTCCATGTAGTTATAGTTGGATGAGGCAGTTTTCTCAGGACATTATGGCACTCTGTGATAAAGCTTCCAAGCTTTTTATGATTTTTATTTTTATTTTGGTTCAAATCTGCACTCCTAGACAAATAGCGCTATACCGTTAGGCTGTTGCTCTTTTCAGAAACCTTCTCGAGTGGACGGAGGTTGCCTATTTATTTAGCTCATGGCTGCTGAATGCTCATTGCATTTGCGCTCAGTTCAAATCCCTTCCTCTGCAGCCCCCCCTCCCCCCGGTATTTGCTGTCCCGATTTTAAGTGCAATATTTTTTCAATAAGTATCATTTGAGCTTGAGCTCGACAATGAATGGATCGAGCTCCGTATTAACTTTATTTTTTGTAAGAGTTGTACAAATTCTGCTCGAGGGTTAATTTACCATTTAAGATGATAAAAATACACAAAAAAAGAGGAAAAAAAAGTCCATTTTAACAGTGTGTTCCTTAGCAGCAGGCAGCTAAGGGTTGTGGATGTATATATAGTTCCTATGAAAACTAGACAAATGAGTTTTCATAAATGTAACATGAAAATATGGTGTAACTATGTAAATACGAGACTCAAAGCTATAAAATAACATTTAATGTTATTAATAAAGCAAGGAAAGGGTTGAATGGACAGCCTCTCCTTGGTCATACACTGCTTGTTAGGAGTTTTTTTTTTAATGTATTTTATCATTTTCACTGTTTACAATTCAAGGCATCTCCTACAATAGCAAAAACCATTTGGTGTCATTGCAAAGGGTAAATAAAACTGGTCAATGATGCTTCTTGTTGTCTGCTTGTTTCATTCTGAGCCAAGTACACAGCCCCAGGCTTGTTTCAACTTTTTGAAACATTAGAGATTTGTTTTGTATTTTTCAGTAGTCCTGCAACATCTAAAAAGCCTAAAGGAAATATGATTTTTTTTTTAACACTTGGACATTTCTCACAGAAAACACCACCAAAGAACACATTACATGTTAAACAAATGTAGAATCAAACGTCTTTGACTTGGGTTCACAATTCACCTGAGACACTCACCAGGAAAGACATTACATTGAGCTGATTAACTGGCAGCATCCTTCCTGGCGTCTAGCCACCTGGCACAGTGCAGAAATCAGTCATTTCAGTTGAAAGTGAAAGTTCAGTCATTCATCAATGTCTTTAGGAACTGCTTTATGTATTTTGGACAGGTTAGTTAAAATGTGGATACCAAGTTGTATTATTTTTGCTACTAAGTCTACATAATGGAAAAAAGAGCATTAAAAGGCACAGGTGTTAAGAACCATCCAGAGCTAACTAGTTGCAACAGAAATCAGAATCCAGTCCTTTCTGTATGGCCCCTTTTTACAGTGAACATTATCGAATAGCGCTTTTCAGCCTTCTGAAAGGTTATTCTCTTAAGTTTTTCTACAAAAGGAC